CTCTTGGGCTTGACATCCTCCACTGGTCCCTTCGGCACCATGATGTGAAACTGGAACGTGCCGTTCTTCTCGTGGATGGTCGTACATTTACCCGTGGCCTTATTCATAATATGACTCAGGGATCTCCCGTTAAGGTCCTTGTCGAATACAACTCTGTTTCCAGCGTTTACCATTTCTCTGACAGATCCCAGAACTTTGTTGACTTCCGCCACTTGAATTGGCATGCTGACTGAGTTTCCATGTTGATTCTTGCCGGTGACTACTCGCTGCCCGTAATTCTTTATCGTCGTTCCGTTTGCCGCGCTGTAGTGTCTTCCCTGCTTTGACGCATCTGTCTGTTTAATGGGGAAGTAGGTGCCTATTCTTGGGGGTCCCACCGTGTTGTACGCTCCAGAGTCCACGGTAACCACGATTGTTTCGTGCTTTGTACTCTGAGGTGGCACCGCGTTAATTTCTGGATCGCAGTCTCGCATTTCGATTAGCCCAATTTCTCCACATTTCTCCAACCAACTCTTTTCCTGCTCTATGCTTTTACTTATCCTCTGGCCCCACTGATTTACATGATTGCAGTTCCCGTTACACTGATGCTCCTGGTAAGCTTTTCTCAGGCCCACTGCGACTTTACGCGCCATTTTCTTTCTGGAATGCGAGGGCAGTGCACATTGTCCGTTAATCTCCTCAGCTGCGGGCGGTTCTGGTGGCGCGTTCACCTCATCATTCATCTCAACACTGAGCACATGCTGCGGTTGGCCAAACGAGGTGGTTTGTTCACTTTCCGCGTTTACCGTTGGTCTCTCTTGCTCAACTTCGTTGGCGGTCTTCCTGGGACCTGGGCAGTTAACGGCAATGTGCCCTTTAGCGCCACACTTGTAGCACTCACGCTCGCTGTGGGGGGGGTAAATCTTCCTTGGCCACCGCAACTTCCACCCCGCGAGCCGCCACCTTTACCACCTTGTTTGCCTCCAATCTTACCTTTCATGTAGGATCCATAAGTGGCACGGCAACCTTTGCCTTTGCCGCCTTTGCCACCCTTGCCTCCTTTCGTGAACTGTTTAGGCTTTGTGCAGTTCCTGGCTAAATGACCCATGCCTCCGCAATTGTAACATTTGGGGCCTGAGCCTTTGCCTTTACCCTTGTTTACGGCGTCGACTTCCTCATGATCTCCAGTTTCACTTTCATTAGCCCAGGGCCCGTAACTCCAAGATCCGCCCTCTGGCCACCAATTTCCATCTTCGTCAACCCATCCTGTCTGATCCCAGACATTTTCGGGCCCTTGACTCGTCTCGTTAATATTTCCAATGTCCATCGCATCTTTATGTTTAGTGTCTGAGTCGAGTTTCTTTTTACGCGCCCAATCTTCACACTTGGAGTATAGCTTTTGGAACGAGTCAATGTTAAATGCGTCGGGCGTCCGCCAACACGCCCGCTGCCACTCGTCAAACCAATCATTCGCATGCACCATTATTGCCCTGAGCGCGGTAACCTTAAAGGGGAGGGGCAGTGAGCAATCCTTGCCATACTTTTCAAGATTCTCCGCTAACGCGCTCCACTCCTCAAGTCGGGCAACGGTATCGGTAATTTTCCTGGGCGGCTCAGGGTTCATAGCGTGCGTCATCTTTGAGGAAAGGGTCGCTCCGGTAACAGCCGAGTACCATTTGTAAACCTTTTGCCGAGCCATAATTCCGTCACCATCCATGAGTCCCTTTAATTTTCCCCTTGCTTCTGCACCTTCAAGCTTTTCGTTAAGGATGTACCATAAGTCTTCCTCCATTTGAGTTTTGTCTCCCTCGGTAAACTCATAATCTCCTTTGTTGTCATCCTCTGCTTGTTTAGCTTGGCTTGCTTTTAAGTATTCGCTTGCTGTTAACCGGCCGTTCATTATGCGTATGATATCATCATCATCTTCCTCTGGAACAACTCCGTCGAGTGTCTCCAACTTCTTGTTCAACATTTTCAGCGCCGGTCGGTAACTCGGTTTTACTTGGGCAAGCGCGTTTAAGAACTTGTCGTTCCAGTCTCTGAACTGTGCTCTTTCTCCACTGAAGTTCTTTAACGCCTGTAATGCTTTGTACTCGCTTATCGGTTTACCGCTCCCGTGCTTACTTCCGCTTCCGCCTTTGATTGCTTCCGAAAGTTGACCAAATTGTTCAATTAACTTCTCTTGTGCTTCGCTGTTGGTCTCCAACTCGGTAACTCTTTCTACCAACCTGCGAGCATCCCTTTCAAGCGCAGCATTTCTCTTCGTTATCGCTAACAACATGCTGTTGGTCTTCTGAGCGCTCTGTAACATTTGAAATGCCTCAACGTTCGATACTTCCCTTCGGTCTTGTGTTACTCGCTCGTTAATGAACGTGGCAAGTCCATAATGATTTGCAAGTAACGCCGTCTGAACGTAACTGAAGTCCCCGTTCAGGTACGCCTGCTCGCACAGGTCGTTGAAGCGGTTAGGGTCCATGTTGACCCATGCATCTCTGTCCGCCGGCACGTTAAGGTTGACCGGCGGGTCGCCCTGCGCGGGCCTAGCTGCAGCGGCCGCCGCCGCCGCCATGGCAACCGCGCTCCGCTACCATGCAAAACCCCGAGGAGGGTTCTGCACGGGAGCTCGGTGACAGCGATGACGATCGGTCACCTTTTTACTTCCGCACGGCGAAGCGAGTCTCGGTAGCTTCAGCCGTTAAACACTTGAACCAAAAGGTAACGGGGGCACCCTCACTCCCCAGTCACCTGAATGCTTACATGTTAACAGTTCCTCCTTCTCCTCCTCCTCCTCCTCCTCCGCCTCCGCCTCCGCCTCCGCCTCCTCCTCCTCCTCCTCCTCCTCCTCCTCCTCCTCCTCCTCCTCTTGCTCCGTAGCCATTTTTGGCTCAACATGTTTGGTTCCACAGGGGAACGCGTGGAGACCGCTAGTCCGCGGCTGTCGCCTTGGAGCCTGAAAAGTTTTGCTCACACCGCGGTTGGGTGGGCGGGCGAACGGAGGCATTTCCCGCTCCTGCACTCCCTAGCGCTCCAGTCATGGGAAACCAGGGCGGCGCAGGCAGGAAGCAGAGGCGCGAATGGACGTGCAAGAGCTGCATCAATCGCCGCACGGGGAAGGCCCTGCTCAACTGGGGCAGCAGCCTCAAGTGCCACGATTGCCGCTTGCACGAGAAGGACGTGTTCGGCGAGGTCGCTGTACACGCGGAGCCGTCCAAGAAGGCCGAGGGGGGCAAGTACCCGCAGGGCAAGCTTGAGAAGCTCCTCGAGGCCGCGCAGAAGGAGCTCGCCGACCTCAAGGAGCGGGCCACCGGCAAGCCGCCGCCCTGGCAGGAAGCCGCCGAGTGCACCGAGTCCATGGAGACGGACGACTCGGATGCGGGCAAGATCGACGCCGAGATCGAGCGGCGCCTCCGCGACCTGGCGATGCTCAAGGCAGCGACGGCGAGTGGGTCCACGCTCAACGTGCAGCTGGCCGACGCGAGGAAGAGGCAGATGGAGCGCAAGCCGCTGCCCAAGCGCGCCCAGGTGCTGGCCAACAAGGTCAAGCACATGGGCGAGAAGGTGTCCATCGGCGGCGGCCGCCGGGGACGCGGCCAGGGATGCCTTGGGCGCTGCCCAGCTGGTCCTGGACGACACGGAGAATGCCTGCCGGGAGCTCCACGCGCTGCAGGTGGAGGTGGAGGCCGAGCTCGAGCGCCTGCAGCAGCTGTTGCTCACGGCGCCAGCCGCGCGGGCGCCGGGCACGGCTCTGGCGCAGGAGCTGGTGCCAGGACTCGGCCTCGCCATGGGGAAGCCCTCGCAACTCGTTGCGACGCCGCTGGGTTCGCACCCGGGCGAGGAGCGGGCCCTGCCGCGCGCGGCGCAGGGCGAAGTTGGCGGAGGGGCTCGGCAGGCGCAGCACGGAGCTCGTTGTCAAGAGGCAGCCCCGGGGTGGCGACGAGGAGGCGGGCGCGGGGCAGCTCACAGGGAGCAGCAGAGGAGGCAGCCCCACCGCACGACCCCGTCGCGCAGAGGCCCGCTGGGGGCCCGGCGAGCTCGAGGAGTCGGAGCTCCGCGGGAAGATGGCCAGGCTCGCCAAACCAGACGAAGACGCCGCCAAAGTTCGGGAGTTGGCCAAGGCGATGGCGATGGGCGGCTTCGCGCCTTGTTGAGCTCATCGGCCTCGTGTCGATGGTCAACTCAACGGCGGACCTCAAGTCTAGGGGCATCATCACGTCGATGAACGTGACCTCGCGGGGCTCGATCGGGCCTTCCGTCGGGACGCTCGGCAGCGGCACGTACGTGATCTTGTTGCAGGAGCACCGCATCATGAACCCCGCGAAGCTCGCGGTGGCGCAGACGGGCTACGACTGGGTCGTCGGCGGCGACTTTAATACGGCGCCCGAGCTGCTCGAGCCTCAGCGGGGCGAGGAGGCCAACGGCATCTGGGCGGTGCCCAGGCAGACCACGCGCCGCCCGCAGCTGGACAACGCGTCGACGATAGACTACTCCAGATTTCGTAATAAAAGGGAGGGGGTCTGGACCCTCCAAGACAAGCCATTTCAGACCTCCCCCGTGGGAGAACCCTCCAAAACATCGTCCCCAGACCCCCCAGGCCCTCCAAGATAGCCTGGAAGAGCCCCCCCCCGAAATGAGACCCCCCTCCCTTTCTTGCGAAATCTGGAGTACTTCTCCGCCCCGGGCAACTCGGACCCGAGGATCTTCGGGCCGACCGCGCGCGATCAGGGCGCCGCGGCGCCCCGCGCACTGGCGCAGCCTCGGCTCGTCGGGCAGGACACGGAGAATCTTGGCCCGCGCCCCTGCGGCGCCTCGGCCCAGCCAAGCGGCGCCGCCCATTGGATGTGAGCTCCTCCTCCTCCTCCTCCTCCTCCTCCTCCTCCTCCTCCTCCTCCTCCTCCTCCTCCTCCTCCCCATCCTCCTCCTCCTCGCGCCTCCTCAAAGTCCTCCTCCTCCTCCTCCTCCTCCTCCTCCTCCTCTTCCTCCTCCTCCCGCTCCCGCGCGCTCCCCCGTGGCTCTGCGCAGACCTTGGCGATCCCCTTGCGCATCCTGGATCCGCCCTGGCCCGCGCAGGTGGCCACGCGCTCCTCCTAGCCGTGCTGCGCGGAGGGGGGCAAACCAGAGGCAAGGAGGAGAGGAAAAAAGAGAGGATCGAGGAGGAGGAGGAGGAGGAGGAGGAGGAGGAGGAGGCACGAGGAGGAGGAGGAGGAGGAGGAGGAGGAGGAAGAGGACGAAAATCAATGAAGAACAGGAGGAGGATGAGGAGGAGGAGGATCGAGGAGGAGGAATACTGTGCTTGGATGGTTTCTGGAGTTTTCGGCGATGCTCTCAGCGGGTTTCGGGGCTTCTTGGCGGTCTTCATGAGGTGTTCGGCGATGTTCACAGAAAGTTCTCGGCGATCTCCAGAGAGGCTCTGCGACTCTCGTGGCTTCGGCCGTCTTCAGAGAGGGAGGTTGTCGGCGGGGCCCAGAAGTGCTCGGCGGCTCGCGGGAGACCTCTGTCAGACGTCAGGCCGGTTCACGGGAGGTTCTGATAGATCCAACCCAGTTGGCTCGGCAGGTTCGTGTCGTATCGGCTTCGGCGCTGGTTCCTGACACCGCGGGGTCCGTTCAGCCTTGAACGGTCTGCCGTTTCCGAACCGTCAGATCGTCGAACTCGGGTCGCCAGCGGCGTTCCACGTTGAACGCCTCCGGCGGCGTCGCCGCCCGCCGACACGACGGGAACCTACCTTATGTGGCTGAGTGCCTTCTCGTTGAGCAGAGTGCGAACGATTGTGCTGCGGCCGGTGCTGGAAAGGTGGCGTGCAGCATCGATATCCGAGAAGCACGCCGTCCCCGTGGGGCGATCCCCCCGCGAGGGCCCACTCTGCATGAACGCATGAAGCTGCCCCCCCGCCCCCCACCTGACGAACTTTAGACAAGGGCCCCCCCGTGCGGCAGCTGGCAGTGGCTTCCTTGGCGTGTTTGTGGCCCTTGGTGCGCCGCTGGGTGTCGTGCTTGCTGCTGGCCAGGGGATTAGAATATAGGTTCGAGTCTGGCGAGAAAACTGCAATCGCGCCTCGTCGAAAACGCACCCTTCGCGGCACACCCTTACTAGTTCAAGCACAGCTGCAGCGAAGCGCAAGACGCAACACTTCGCGGCGCATCAAGGCCGAATCCACGGGTCGATTAGTGGCCGTCCAGTTGCCGGTGTGCTCCTTCAGCTGGCTGTTGCACTGGCGCAGCTAGTTGCTGATGGGTGCTCTGGTGATCAACGCGAATGCAAAGCTGCTGTGCTTGGAGCTCGCGGCAGGCCCGATGCGCGCTGGAGAACAGCACGTGGGGGTCTATCTCCAGTCGCCAATTCTGGCCCATGACCACTATCCTGTCGCTGGCATCCTTGGCCCAGGCGCACCAGTGAGGCAAGGGGTCGGGGACGAGGTGAACCTCGTCCCAATTCGTGCCGCACGTAATCCACGGCGTGCTGTAGCTGGTGCTGAGGAACGTGCTATCGGACAACGACTTGACAGCATTCCTGAAGTCGGCGGGGCGGATGACGTCGAAACCGTGGTCTTGTAGCGCTTGTGATGCGTCCCTTTCCCGCTCTAGGACCCAGGCGGGGCGCCCGGCCCCGCTGCCCACATCTACCAGGGCAGGTCGGCGGAGACAGTCTGGCGGACGGGCCCGGCGATCTCCTGCCGAGGCAGCCCCTTGGAGCCTTCGGCGCTGCAGGCGCCGAGAGACCCCTCGGATGTCGTGCTGCCTATCCCTCTTGGAGTAGAGTCCTGAAACGTCATTCCAGGGTGTCCAGAGCCCCCAGATCGACGAGATGACGAACTTGGGGCCGACTACGATCTCAGCATCGTCGATGCGGCGGTTCCAGAATGAGCTTGGCGACGCGGCGGCCCTGCTCGACTGCGAACGACGCCGAGGGCTGGCGCTAGACACGAACACCTCGATCTCGCCGCTGCAATCGGGGCCCACCGCGCCGCCTGCGACATCGATGCCTTTGAGGGCGAGTCCTGAGCGCGGGGCGATGCGGAGATATGCGCCCAGTGGCTCTATGGCCGCTCCGCCTGTCCACGCAACTTCACGACCACAGGTCGCGATGCTGACGTCCGTGTCGGCGCAGACGTCGTTGCCTGCGGCCCAGGCGCGCCCCGCGAGGGTGCCTGGGCGTCGGGGCCGACGAGCTGGATCTTCAGCTTTTAGTGCTCTCGACCGTCGGCGTCGCGGTATTCCTGCTCATCGCTGCCCACCGCTAGCAGCGCGAGCCGCTTGGGCGGCGGGCCCCCGGAGCGTGGCTGCAGCTTGCAGGATTCGCCGACTGGGATGCACAGGCGACCACTTGGCGCCGATTCAAAATCAAAGTGGACGGCGCCAGGGCCCACGTGATCTCGCGGCCGCCTGGCCCAGGGAAGGCGAGGCGCTCGTGGTCAGCGCCCGTCTCCGCCGCCCCGTCGCTGGACTGCGTGGACTGCAGATCTCACAGGGCAAGGAGGCCAGCGCCGGCGCCCTCTATGGCTGGCGCGCGCACGCTGCGCTGACTGGCCAAACCGTCGCGGGAAGTCGTCGCGAGTGGGCAGTGGACCTCCCACTTCGCTAACTGTGACCCGTTGCCACCTCCTGCTGCGCAATGGGGTCGAACACTTCTCCTCGCAAGATTGCAGCTTCGCCCGCCGGGCCCGGCGGGCCAAAATCACGGCGAAGCGCAATCCCCAGAGGTTGGCCCGAGCGCCGGCGTCGACTATGACGCTGATCGGGGCACCTGGTAGATCTGTGCTCGCCAGGTAGCGCGGCGACTCGTTCGCTGCGCTGGCGCCCGTGCCCGACGAAATGGGCCGCCGCGGGGGCGTCGGACGGTCTAGCGGCGCGCGCAAGCCCGGGCGGGCGTCGCAAGGCGCCGCCGCGTCCAATGCGGACGCGAAGGCTGGACGCACCGCCTGACGATGTTGCGAGGTCTGGCGTCCAAGGCCTAAGGACTGGTCGACTCCCCCGGCAAATCTTATCTGCTGCCGCGCGGGGCGACGCCGCGGGCGCCCGACCTGTCGGCGAACGATCTGCACCAACGAAGCGGAAATCGGCGATGACGTCGGCCGGCCGCGGTGCGCCGGACAGCGCACGAGGCGAGTGTCTGTATTCTGCATCAATTGCAGATGGCATGCGCGGTGCGAGATGCGGCGCCACTGCGGGCGCATCACCTTCTCGTCATGCTAGAAGGCCTCGAGGCTGAGGGGGCACCCCCTATCGTCGCCAGCGAAAGCCGCGACTGGAAGAGACTCGGCAGGCGCTGCGGCCAGCACAGGATGAGGATGACTAGGGGGTCTTTCCAACTCTCTGCGGCCTGGCGTCGCTGCTCGTCCTGCTGCCGCATAAGCTCAAGTGCTAGCTGTGCGCTGCGGAGCTAGTCGTGGTGTCGTCATTGCGCGCGGTCGAGGGTGGTGCCCGCGTTGGGCTCGGATCGGCCGTCGCCTGCCACTCGGGCCTCGCGGCTGGTGAACCGCGCGGCCGCTCTCCCAAACGGCTGGCTCACGTCGACGGGGCTACTTAAAACAATCAGCTCCCGGGGAAGCTCCAGCACCGGCGGCGGCGCAGCCACCGTCGCGGACAGAGGCGGCCACGCGGAGCTCGATCCACGTGGAGCGCCGATGCCGAGAGCTGAGGCTGAATGCATGCATGCCCAACTCGGCAACTGCACGTCGGCAGGCGGGGCTGGAGGCGCGGCGACTCGCGCGTTGAGGTCGCCTGCCCAGTCGCGACCCTGAGCTTGCCCCAGTGGGAGTGCACCGCCCGCTCGTGTCCACCGTGGCGCGTTGGTGGCGGCGCTGGCGAAGCTGTCGGAGCAAGCGCCGCCGTTGGCGCGGCTGGCGCTGTTCCCCCCGCTGCCACCGCGCGGGCGACGCAGTCGCAGGGCCCGTCGGTTGCGCAGGGGCTCGCACGCGGCCTGTGAATTCCGCCGCCCCCGTCGCGATCGTCGCATCTCGGCGTCGCGAGGGTTGGGCGACGACGAAGATGAGAACGACGCACCCGCCCATCGCGACCGCAGGCCGTGGCCAACTTGCTCACAACAGCCGTGGCGACGCACTTGGAGCGGCCGCTGGCGCCGCTGGCCGTGGCGCCAGTGCTGCTGGAGTCGGCTGCCCGCCGTTCCAGGGGTCAGCGTTCTGCGCGGGGTCGCCCTCCCCGCCCGCGACCGCGGGCCGCGGGGCCCCGGTGGCGCCCCTCGTCATCCACGCTGCGCGCGCTCCTGGGGTGGGCCGCTGCTCGGATGGCCCCGGCGGCCCCTGCTGCGCCAGAAGCTCAAGTGGCGAGGGCGTCGATGGTGGCGGCGGCGCTGGGGCGCAGGCAGCAAGGAAAAGAGCGCGCCCTTCGCTGCGGCGCCTGGGGCGATCGCGCAAGAGGTGCCCCCCGGGGTCGCGCTCGTGAAATTCGAGGCGCGCCCCGTCAGGGCCACCAGGGTTGCCTCGGCGGCTGAACCCACGCCGCCAGCGCTGAACTCCCCCCCGCCCTTGCCCTTGCCGACCCCGAAGCCCGCGAAAGCTTCCCATAATCGCTTTCCGACAGATCGACCAGAAAAGGCGATGGCCCTTACCTTGACCCGCGCCCGGCCGTGCGATGACCCTCCCAGGGCGGCGGGTGGGCGCGCGGTTGCTGAAGCTGCGCCGACGTGCTTTGCCGTGCTCGTGAGCCCACAGAAATGCGCGCCGCGTTGCTCCGCGAGAACGTCGCGCTGTTCGGGGTCGCCTGCGGCAATCTCTCCGCCGAATGAGCTGGCGGCGTCGGCGTCGGCGCCTGAGTCTACGCCTGCCGGGACAAAGAACCTCGCGCTGGCGACGCCGCGCCGGCGCTGCCAGGGCCCGTGCCGCCCCGGCTCGACCTGGCCACAGCGCCGCAGGCGCCGCGAGCCTGACCCCGCACGGGCGCGCCCGCGAAGATGGCGCGCCGTCGGGCGGAGTCGACCGCCGAGGCGAGATTGCCGGGGGATCCCTCGATCCATGTGCCCCGTCGCGCGCGTCGGCTGCGCTGCGTTTGCAGCGCGGGCCACGCTGCGGCGCTGCAAGATCACGGTCAGGTGGATGTTCGACGCTCCAGCGGCGCGCAGCAGCAATCACCTGAGACCCTCGTGGCCGATCAGGAGTTGACCAGGTCGCTGCGCTCGGCTGCGCGAGAGGTCGAAACGCGTGGGGATATGGTCGAAGCGCTCTTGCGGCAGTCGGCTGAAGTTCATCGGTGCTGACGCTGCCGAATTGCCGCCCTCCTCGTCAAGTTGGCCTCGTCGTTCGGCCAAGCTGCGCTTTGGGAAGGCCACCCACGGCGCTGGGTTGCCGTTGACAAGCCCTCCTCGGATCAGGACAGCCGGCGGCCAGTCATCTAACTCGCGAGCCATGCAAGCGAGGCGCGACGAGACGTTGGCCGCGTGGCGGAACTCGTTGAAATCTGAATTCGCCACTGACCAGATCAGTACCTCGCGCTTACGCACACGAGATTGCTGCTCGGGCCCTCACGTGCGGAGGCGGCGCGCGTCGCCACTGCTGCCGCCTGCGCCCAGGCACGAAAAGTAGTTAATGATGGTAGTCGTGCCCACTCCGAGAACCTCCCATCCAGAATTGACTTCCCTCCACGTCTCACGGGGGCGGTGGAGCCTGGAGATCCACCGACGGCGTTGCTCGAGCAAGAAGCCTCGAAACTCGAAACCGCCGTGGATACTTGCCACGGATGCGTTCGTCCTCGTCTGCTTATTGGGCGCGCGCCTCCACCGCGCGGTTGCGGTGTTCTCGGCGTTCGGAGCGTCCCGCGGCGCAGCCCTGGGGATGGCCCTCGTACGCCGCATTGTCACTGTACTTGAACACCACCAACAACACGATCGTCAAGAAGAATACACCCTGCGAAATGCTTAAGAAATCATGGGTTAAGAAATTCATAGTCTCAGAAATTGAATAAAACCCAGAACTTCTATCAAAATCTTCGGATTTACATTGAAAAATTAAGAATCATCGAGACTCTGGACGAAAACTTAGGTTTTCTTAAGCATCGCCCAAGGTGTATGCATCGGGACCCTGTCCTGCCAGCTTGCAGGGAAGGCGCGGGTAAGGCGATAGGGCATGTTCCACAACATCGAAAACGGGCAGTTACAAATCCGCTGTGCGGTCCCTCGGGGTAGTGACAGCATCGTCGCCGGGCCCTCCACTGACTTCCGGTTTTTCCCGGCTTGCCCGTCCCAGGACTTTCGTGACACCGTCACGAAGTGGCATGGGCTCTTTGCCAGCGCCGCTGATGTGAACGCTGTATTAAGCAACTGTCCGTTATCGACGGCCACACCCATATTTGTAGTTATTCCCTCAGATGGGCGTCTGGAACACGCTGGGTCCGCGAGCTGCGCGTTTTGTCAATGTAATGATACTGGCTGTGCACGCTCCATTCCGCTGGTCCTGGAGGCGGGAGGGCGACTGCCCCGATAACGGCCACGTAGAAGTGCACAGAGGCGTAGAAAGCGTTTCAACGTGATCAAGGTGACGAAGTGTTGGAGCCTGACGGCGACAGTGACTTGGAGCCTGAGCGGCCGACGCGAAGCGAGAATGGAAAACCATTGCGGTCGTTGAAGGGAGCCGAAGCTCCGCTACCAACCAAAACGATTAATGTATGAACTTATGTGTATAGGCGGATGTTATTGCAAGTGGAGCGCAGAGAAGGCATGTATAAGGCGGGGTTTTAAAACGGGCGCGCTAAGTACGTACCTTGAGTCAAACGCCCATGGAAAAACCGTCGCAGGCCAGGCAAAGCAGGGGAGAAAAGGCGGGATGACCGTACGAATTGACCAATGCTGAGGAGGAGGAGGAGGAGCAGGAGGAGGAAAAGGAAGACGAGAAGGAGGAGGAGGAGGAGGTGGAGGAGCAGGAGGCGGAGGAGGAGGAAAAGGAAGAGGAGGAAAATGAGGACAACGAGGAGGAGGAGGAGGAGGAGGAGGAGGAAAAAGAGGAAGCCGAGGAGGAACAGGAGGAGGAGGAGGAAAAAGAGGAGGACGAGGGACAAAAAGGAGGAGTAGGAGGACAAGGGGGAGGACGAGGATGAGGATGAGGAGGAGGAAGAGGAAGAGGAGGAAGAGGAGGACGAGGAGGAGGAGGAGGAGGAGGAGGAGGAAGAGGCGGAGGAGGAGGAGGAAGAGGAGGGGGGAGGAGAGAGAAGGAGGAGGAGAAGGAGGAGGAGGAGGAGGGGGAGGGGAGGGAGGAGGGAGGAGGAACAGCGGGAGGAGAAGGAGGGAGGCGCGATGGGACGTTCCTCCAGCAGCCCCAGTTCATGGTCGATGGCGTCGTCAACCATTGCCGGGTCTGCCCACATCAGGTCCGCCGGCCTCCCTCCGAAGCGACAGGCGCGCGGGAGTGACCCTCCTGCGCCACGGGGCGATCCTCGCCTCCCCTCTACTACCCTCTCCTCCTTCTCCTCCTCCTCCTCCTCCTCCTCGTCCTCCTCCTTCTCCTCGCATTCGGCGTTGGAAGCTCAGGCACTTTGAGAACCAATGGAGAGAGGATTGTCCTGAAACCCTTTCACGCGGCTACCGCCCCCCTCAGCACTTGCCCGGGCCAGAGAGGGAGCGGGGGGGCGCGGAAGATAGATGGCATGGATCGCGCTGTTCTCGATATGTGCGTTGGTGAAAGTTGCATGTTACAGGAGGAGGAGGAGGAGGAGGAGGAGGAGGAACTCATTGGCGGCGAGTGCCACGGACAGGCCGGAAGAGATCAGCAGTGCACCGCGAGAGTGGGATGTGATGGTGCTGACACGGGCGCATCAGTGGGCAGGGCCAGAGCAGATGAAGAACACGAATCATAGACACCATGTGGCATCGCAGCTTGGGGCAAAGAAGGGGAGATGGATCACTAACGCATGCGGCGCGACGCGATTGGTGTCCAACGAGATGATGAAGGACAAAGCTTTCGGTGCACAGTACACACCACCTGCGCAACTGCAAGGAAAAACAGCGGGGGGTGAGACTGCGCGCGAGAGATTACGACGTCACAGTATGTTCTACGTATTTACCACCAGAGAAAGGGTACACACACAATGGGAGGATCTCAAAAGATATGAAATGGGTGGAGGAGAAGTGTGACGACACAGGCGGCAGATCTACTATCATAGCGGGAGGGGGCATCAACAGCCAACTGGTAATGCACAGAGCGGACAACAGGGACTTTGTGGTAAGCAGACACAGCTCGAGCAAACATGCAGCGGCATTGGGGCCAGCGGCTAAAGAGATGGAGAACGACAGCGGTGCAGCTTTCAGGGACTTGTGTCCACAGCCTATTCAATGGTCACCACCTTCTTCGATTGTGGACCAATTTACTACTGCGCCAAAGACGACGAGGTACGGACGAGCAAGATCGATCACGCAGCGATATCGACGGGAGCTCTACCACGCGCGCGAGGATGCACTGCATTAAGAGGGGTGGCAAAAAAAGCTGCAGAAAATCAAAGCGAGAGGACATCGGGACCACATCCCTTTGGGCATCGACATCGGACTGCAACGTCCATTTCGTTTCTCGAGCAAACGCAGACAGCAGCGGGCAGACACCATTGTGGACCGCAACATACTGATGGAGTGCCTGAGGAAAGGACGTATGAGAGCGGGATTCGCGCGTGCTGTCGATCGCCACCCGAAGACAACGATGGCCCAGCGGCCAGGAGAAGCATTCGTGAGGTCATCTCGGAGTGCGGTCCACGCGGATTCCGCCGAGCCTCCAGGAGAAGCGTTAGCGAGGTCATCTCGGAGTGCGTTCCAGGAGATGGAACGATGCATGTAGAAAAGCCATGCGCGAAGTATTCCCAGCCAAGAGGAAGTAGGAGGACAGGGGAGTCGCCGCCTTCCAGCTAAGGAGGCATCCCCTACTGGCAGAAACGATGAAAGAGAGAGTGGACATGGCGGAGTCAGACTCGCAGGAAAGATTGGGCGAGATCAGGGAGGAGCTGAAGCAAATGCAAAATGCGCCGCGGCAACGCAGGCCAGCCGTGGAAGTCGCAAGGAAGACAGGGCCGGCAAGGGAGGTATGGAGAGCGCGCGAGAACAAGAACTTCAACGAGATGCACAGGCTCAGGGTGTAATATCAGAGGAATAGAAGAGGGCCAGAAAAGAGGTGCTCCTTGTCAGCGCGAACCTGATGGAGCACAGAAGAATGGCCAAGATCATTGGGAAAGCGCCCTTGCGATAGGGGGGGGGCTTGCAGCAGAGCCGCTGGGCCTAGACGGGCACGGGAAGGGGCACGGCGAGGTGATCGCGGGAGAAATGCCGGCACCAATGGACGGGGATCTGAGGGCTCAGGTAGAGAGGGACAAAAAGGGACATGCTGAGGTGCTGCAGGAACGCGGCAAAGAGGAGAGCTTTCCCCCCATGGAGGGCACCAGTGGAACTCGCTTGGAGGATTCCAGGCCACGCGGTCAACCTGAAGGACCCTGAGCAGTTGAGCAAGAAGCTGGAGGAGCAGAAGGTATGAGCGGCGGAGCTACGCGAGGACGGGGGGGACATGGACGAGCACAGCTCACCCCGCAAGTACAGGGTGGGAAGGGCGATTCTACGGAAGATGGGATGGAAAACAGGAAATGCGCTGGGCAGGACAGAATGAGCCGATGATGGAGGTGCGATGAGGGCTAAACACGCACCACTTGGGGAGATACGAGAAAGCTGGACTGGGGTCGACAGCAATTGAGGCAGACGAGAATATGGAGCGCAGGAACAAGCTGGAGGACATCCTCACTAAGCGTCGCCAATCCCAAGCTACGCCAGTGAACTGGCTCAGATCGATGTCGTTCCCTGCAGAGAAAGGCAATGGCAACCATTTCATTGGAGGGAAAAGAGTCACGCCTGCTTAATGCTCCATTGGAATGGCTCTCCACAAGGGGCTTCATTCCAGAGGAAAAGCTCCCAAACACCCATGCTGGACACAAGGGGGCTACGACATCGGTCAAGGGAGAAAACCATAGCACGCGTCGAGGCCGCGCAGTGGAGAGCGAGACAAACAAGGGCAAATACCATCGCCAATACTTATGACTGCACCAACGCCCTCGCGAGCACGAAACGGAACCTCCTGCTGGCATCGGCGCTCGCGACATCCAAGGAGGACATACCTTTCGCCTTCGAGGTGATCAACTACGCTTCGATGTTTATGGAATGCGCCGATGACTGGCCACGCGCGCTGACTACGCAAGGGGCGCAAATCGTTTTATTCGGTGCCCACGGCAATTCAATGATAACTACCACTTGCACGTGGGACAGTGGCATCAGGAAGAGGGGAGAGGGCGAGGTGCGGACAGCGCGTGACACGTTGGACCCCGTTGCAGACCAGGTGCGCGATCTCTCGCTCAACGCGTTCATGGGCGACATCACCAAACTCCGCGCGGTGGCCCAGTCGGGCCCGTCCACCCAGGTGACGGGATTTAGCGAGGAAATCTCGAGCACCAATCAGCTTTCGGCGAAAGCGAGGCCACCTCGGCTCGTCGGGAAGCGCATGCTGGGAGGGAGGGTGGGCCAATGTTCCAGGCAAAAAGGATAGCGGAACAGATCAACGCTACCACGGAGAAGTTGGAGCGCAAGCTGGCGACGGGAGGTTGGAATCTGAACCCAACCAAAACCAACCGCCTGGTTTCCGTTCGAGGCCCAGGGCGAGATGGGATCACTCGACAGCTGCACAGGGAACGGAAGCTCAAGGGCACGCCGATGAGGGAGGTGCGAGTACTGAAGCCATACCTACCTTGGGATCAGGGCTACGCGGGAGAGATCAGGGGGAGATGAGAGGCTATGCAGATGGCTTGCAGACAATGCGGTTGCTTCTGGTCTTCAGATGCCACCGACAAAATAAAGAAGGAGATGTTCCGGGCGTTTGTATCAGGGGCGGGCCTCAGTGGGCTGATGGCACATGCACTGGAGGGACAGCCACCTCGGCGAGCTTGACAGTGCCATGGCAATGCTATGGAGACGAATGGCTGGAGGCAGAATGAGTTGGATTCAAGAGGATGGCACGACCAGGTGCTACGCTAACAATGGTTTTCAAAACAAATTGAGGATACCGCGCTGTGCTACAGCGCTGGGGAAACGCAAGCTACGAAGGCGCAGGCAATGGGCGAAACATCCAGAGAATTCCGGCAGCGCATTTGCAACAATATTCGGAAGTCGAATTTGGACCGCCTCTGCGAAGCCAGGAGATTGGAGAATGGGCGGGCATGTGGGACGCCCGCACGTTGGGCAAAGCAGGAGGTCGAGGATTTTCAAGCGCCGGCAGAGGTCAGCGAGGACGTGGCAGGCTGGTGCCCGCAGAGGCAGCCAGATATCTCAATGCTTCTGAAAGGCACGATGGACTGGGAAGCGCGGGTTGGAGCAGACCCCAGCATGCCGCGACATGCAGGGCACACCTGGCATACCAAGCTACCAGAAATAGTAGTGAAGAAAAGTTGTTCGCTCCGTATTGTCGGGAGCGGCCAAGAGGGGGGGGTCCAAGAGGGGGGGGGGTGCAAATCATGGCCGGCAGCACGTGCGCGGCCCAGCGGGGGGGGCCCGGGACGTAGTGAAACGAGAAGAGGCGCCATGATATCTGGGGAAATATCATGGCCCCCGCCATGATATCCACCCCCCCTACAGTCGGGGCCTTGACCTAAGGAACCCCAAAATAAGGAACGAGGCCCCTTTTCTCCATAAGTGAAACTTCGAGTTACCATCGAGAACATAAGGAAAACCTGAGGCAAGCTGCGAAACAATGAAGGAACACCGAGCCCCTCCCCAACGAAAAGGGTTCCTTCTTCAGGGCCCCGACTGTAGTCATCACCCCCTCTTTGCCGCCCCCGATATTGGTGCGACCGGGGGGCGGAGGGAGCGGGACAGGCGCGCGGAGCGCCAGTCGCCGCGGCGGCGGCGCTGGCGGCGCGCGGGGGCGCGGCGCACAGTTGTCCTCCACTGATCCCCAGCCACGCGGTTGCAGATCAATGTCCATGGTGCCCGAGCTCGTTCGCGACAGAAAAGTGCGACCGACCACGTCGTGGGGGCCGCGGGGAGTCACGGGATTTGCTGCAAGAGCAGAACTATTGGGATCACGCTGTCCAAGAACCTCCTTCCCTAGGCTGTACCCTCTGTGGCTTTCAGGCTCAATCTTTGGGGGATTTTTCAGATGCGCGCGCGCCGCCACCATCCTGGCCCGTGCCGCGGGATAGATGGCGATTGCACCGCGGAGGCTGCCCCCGCCCAAAAGGGGAGGAGACGCGGAGACGGAAGGAGAACCGAAGCACTTCAAGGGCGGCAGTGGCAACGGCAATGACCTGCGGGCAGCAGAAGGGACCAGTGCCAAGGCGGCAGGATGCCCGCCCGCGGCCGCGGCC